CAGCCCTTGTGTCCCGCATCCTCAAGCATTCTAGGGAGAGCCGAGCCGGTGATGGTGGACGGCGCGCCGCCGCCGCAGCCGCCGCTGCTCGACTCGCGCGACGCCTCGAGCGAGGGCGACGTCGCCGGCTGGGGGCGGAGCGAGGGCGTGCCGCCGCCCGAGCCGGGCGGCGACCGCTCGCTGAACGGGCTGGCGCACGGGTCCGGCGTGAGGAGGAGCGGCAAGCCGGCGGCGGGCAGCGAGCGCACCGCGGCCGGGATGGGGCGCAGGTCCGAGGCTGCCGCGCCGCATGCCTGCCCGCCGCGGCTCGGGCCGACGGCGGGCGACGCGGCGGCGGCCACGCCGGCGCCCGACGCGTCCGCCGCGCGCGCCGCGAGCGGTGACGTCGACGAGGAAGTGGCGCCGCCGGTGCCGCCGCCGCACCGGGGAGATGTGGACGAGGGGGCGTGGCGGCCGCTTGCCGGCTCGTGGGCGCGCGGCGGGCGGCCGAAGGGGTCCTCGTCCGGTGAGAGGGAGCCTACCTCGTACGGAGTCGCGGGCGTGTGTAGACTCGTGCAGCCGTAGAGTCGTGCCCTCGTAGAGTGGAGAGGGCGCCGGAGCGACGCGAGAGCCGCTCGGCGGGCTCCTCGGTCAGCCGCGCGAGACGCTCCTCCGACTCGATCCGCTGCTCGAGCCGCCATCGCGCGGAGAGCCTGCGCGCTGAATACGCCAGCCTCAGGGCACGACTACGGTGCCGTGCAGCGTCGTCAGAGCAGCGCGTGCGGACGAGGGGCTGCGAGTGCAGGACACAGAGAGGAGAACGGCGGGAGGCAGTGGAATGCGTGTCCTCTCGAGTGCTGGTTGGGGTTAGGGTTGGAGTGAGAGAGGAGTACGTGTTCCGCTTCTAGGGCGGAGAGCTGCTCGAGGATGCGGGAGATGGCGGCGCCCTTGGACACGCCGTACGGCCGCACCTCGACGCGCTTCATGTCGAGGCCGACCTAGCCGAGGTACAGCCGAGGTGAGGCTGAGGTACAGCCGAGGTACAGCCGAGGGGTATGGCCGAGGTACAGCCGAGGTACAGCCGAGGTACAGCCGAGGTACAGCCGAGGTACAGCCGAGGTGAGGCCGAGGTGCGGCCGAGATCATTCTGATGCGGAGGCTTCGCCTCGACGGGCGCGTTGCCGGACACCTTGACGAGGTGCGACTGCAGCGCGACCGCCTGCACGTCGGCGAACTCGTCCGCCGCGTCGCAGTAGTGCCACGTGATCGTGTGCTCCTGCACCTCCGTGAGCGTCTCCGGCGTGCGCGCCTGCCCCTCCGGGCGGGGCGGCGGTGGGATAGGGGGCGCCGAGCCGGCCCCCTCGTCGCGCCGCGGGGAGGTGTCGGGAGGTGTGCGGAGGTGTGGGGAGGTGTGGGGAGGTGTGGGGAGGTCTGGGGAGGTGTGGGGAGGTGTGGGGAGGTGTGGGGAGGTGTGCGGAGGTGTGGGGAGGTGTGGGGAGGTGTGGGAGGTATGGGAGGT